TTTTTCCCTCTTCTTTAAGACTTCTGCAGAGCAGCCAAAGCCGTCCGAAGTGCAGCCTTGTTTCTTGTGCGAGTAGACGATATTCATAGACGTGACGGTGCTTCTTGCTTGAGTATTGAGTGTAGGCGACCGAGCAACTCTCTCATTATCGTAGTCTTGGACACTTTTTGTCACGTGTGTCAGGGATTGATAGTAGGTAGATATGAACAATGGAGTGCCTGCCAAAGAGGCACCGCCTCGCGCTCCCCACACAGCGAAGTGCTACACCCCTTCTCACCTGCCGAATACTTCTGCTCTCGTTCCGTGAAACGACATGAGTAGCACTCGAATATTTGGTTTTTTGTAGTTTCTTCGTTGCCGACGTACAAAGCCCTGAGAACCTATTTTCCTGCAGAAAAAACGAAAGTTTTACTTCTACAAAGGACTGCTTCTAACGTAACAGTTGCAGAATACGCTGCAGGTACTGGAATAGCTATTGCGCTTTACAGCTAAACACCAGCCCTCCGTCCATATTTTTCACCATCCATCCTTCTGTGAGTGGCCCTAAAAAGTTGTGATTGGCCTGCAGATGCACTTCGGCAGGAGGCTAGCCCGACGGGCATACACGTGTAGTCTCGCTGGCACGTGCGAGTATATGACACAGTCTTCCAAGACACTGTAACGAAGGCGAGCGTTGACTAGGCTGGTGAACCCGGCAAGCGGTCAATAAGTTCGTCTATCCGCGGGATCGGGAAACTTTTGCATTACCGTGATTTTATTGAGGGGATTGAAGCCAACGCACATTTGCCACCGCCTGTTATTTTTCTTCGCCAGCACAGGATTGAGCCCGAGTGCACTAGTTGACCGTTGAACTTGGCATTTACCTAGCAGTTTGTTCGCTTGCCGCTTGATTTTCGCTTCAAGACGCAGAGGTCACTTGTACCTTGTAACAATCTTCAGCAATGCTCTGGGAATGGGTCCTATGCGGTGCATTGGGCGTCCAGTGGGCGACCTGGCTGCTGAGCTCTTTATCTAGTACACCTGAGAACTTTTCCTCCAATTGTGCCCGCGTCCGCTGTTTCTCTTGTGTCAGCTGGACCGCAAAGGCCAAACCTGTTGCATTCGTAAGATCATCACGATGGAGTGCATGCATTTCTCTGTCGTTGCCTGCAGTGCCTCTATAATGCGTATGAGCCTTGTTCTTCTCTTGCTGAAATACAGCATTCACTCATCTTCCCATAGAGGATGCAAATCGCGCTGGGATGGCCGGCATGCATTCTCTCAGTCTTTCAGGCAAGTAGTCCTCAATAGTGTCGCCTGGAGGCCGTGTGTATAAGCCCGTCACTGCATCACGCACGGCATGCCTGCAATAATGTCAAATCTCACGGTGAGCTTGCCCAAAATAGAAGTCCCACACCATGGTAATATGACCGATTTCTGAATTGGCTAGCACTTTACACCCAACACATTTGCCGACTCTCCTGTCCTGTCTACCATCCACGAAGTCTTGTTGGAGAGACTGCGCCAACGAATAGGCAGGTACATTGCAGGTCCTCGCCGTAGCTTCAGATGTCAATTCCACTTCGCAGCGTCTGCCAAGCTGCGCTCACAACCCCAGACCATTATAACGAAGTTGGATAGGCATGGACTCAACTCGAGGGAGATTTGTGAGTGCCGCCCTCAACTCTTCCAGCCGCTCTACTGCGCCACACGTTGCACCTAGGCCATTGCGCTTCCCTGGTTCCGTTGTTTGCTCCCCTGATACCGCTGCTTAAAGTCTTCCCTCTCCAGTTCCCCTGCGTTTTTTCAAACTTCTGCAATCTCCATTTTTATGGAGTTATTTCTTGCGAAAGAAGTAGATGCTTCGCTCTGTACGTCCCTCAGGCTTCATGGGAGATGACATTCCTGATGCTGTGGACTGGCTTCCACAGCACCAATATCCAAACCCGTTCCCTTATTTCTCAGCTAGGGCGGTGCAAGTGGCGTTTTTTCTCGCGTCTAAGCGTAAGCATTCTATAACTCCTTGATGGACTGGACTGATAGTTCTAGACGCAGCTCTTTTTCGATTGCCTGCCTCGTGTAAATTTTATGAGTTCTGTCACCCCTTTCACCTCTTAGCTCCCGTTCCCCGGCCGAGGCGGTTAGCGATTGCCTCCATCCGGAGGATAACCCTGCAGGAACTATTGATTGAAACATTTTGAATCCATCACTGGGCTTCTGTTTACCAGTGACTGATAGTTCTAGATGCAGCGCTCTTTCGGTAGCCTGCCTTGTTTAAGTTTTACCAGTTCAGTCATTGCTTCTTTTTCTTGCCCGCCTCGGAATAAACTTTCGTAGCAGCGCATATCGCAAGGCTTCCCTAATCCGGATGTACTCCGGAAGAGTGGTGCTCGTGCGTAGATATAGCCACCGTCGTCGTGCATATCCCACCAATAACGAGCATGGCAATAGCATCTGTAGCTCTTCGGCTGCATATTAGGGGAAGCGTACCACTCCAGACGAGCAAATAACTCATCTATTGCACCCGCAGCATGGCACCCGTCATATCTGGACTGCTAATAAAAGCGGAAACGTTCTCAATGAAATGGTGTCCTTGTAAAGACATTTCCCGCTGGATGAGATATAGTTAATGCGCGAGCTTCGACGCAACGAGGCTCCATTGGCCTCTTCCCCACGAGGGCAGATTCTGCTTAATGTAGATTATCCGAAGGGAGGTAAGGGCTAAGTATTCCACTAAGGTGTTTTGAGTGCATCCAACTCTTTAAAGCGCCTTCGGTACTAGTTACGGCTATTCACCGGGCCGTCATCGCGTGGGGGTTGGGTTATTGGGTTCTTTGCTCGCGCCTGGCCCGATCAACCATGTGATGCTGCTCAGCGTAACGAGAGCCCCGAGACACTAGCGAGGACCGTCGTGAGCTGCAATGCAGCCAACAGGCTGAATGTAAGTGTTCATTAAAAACAGGTGAGATCCTCTCCATAACTCAGACGTTCTAGTCACAGCGGCCCAAGGGTCTGCCTATGGGGAAGAGGAAGCAGCCTAACGTTCCCATGCACCTCGCTGCAACTAATGCTGCAAGGCACTTACACATGCAAGCACAGCCAAACCCCTCTTGCTGTCTGCCTTAACACTGTAGTGCTTATGTTTGCGTGCAGGCTGCCATCTAAGGCTAAATAAGTGTTCGTGTACCAACTTCCGGCAGCGACCAGTATAACGCAACGGAAGGCGGGAAGCCCCTCAAGCTTATTCAGGGCTGTGTCTGATTGTTCTTTTGGTGGAAATAAGTCTGTTTAAGAATTAAATGAAGTAAAACTAAAAGAACGGAATAGTGTAGAGTCACGCATTTGCCTATCTGCAGGTCGCTGCCTTCGTGGACCCATTTGAGCTATGTTTGGGCTGTGCCCGCAGCAGCTGCTACGTGCATGCTCATGAGTACCTCGCCGCGGGGTCCTGCTGGTGTTGCTAGTGCCTTGTAACTCGTTAACTTCTGCTATAAATGTAAAGGGTTTTGTGAGGAATACTGCGGCCTATTTTACCTCTGGGGGAGGCGCACAGTTGATGCATGCAGAGATGCAGAGGCATTGGTGTGTCGCTTGCCAGGAGAGGACGGCAGAACCGATCTTCTGTTCTTGTGTTTTGTACTCTCACAACCCTCATAGAAGTCATAGGCCTGTGTCTTATCCTGTGGCTTTGACTTGCGGTTTCTGCACAACAACGAGATGACACTGAGGCCGTCTCTCTTTTCTTGTGAGCTCAACGCATATCTTGAATTCGAATACTTCGAGAAGTGCAACTGACAGTACAACTTCACCTGAAGAGGGGTCCATATTCGTGGCACGTGAGAAGGGGAGGAGGGGAATATCGCTGCAGACCTGGGCTGCATGCACCGGTAGTTCGCCTATAGGCTTGTGAAGCTCCGGGCGTTCATTCACTTTTCGCCAACTTCCTTAGAAACTGCTGAACAGGAAGATGGGAAACCCCCGAAACCTCCGAAGAACTTCTTCTCAAGAGGAGGACGAAGGTGACGTCTTCGATGAGAAGTCGGACAGTACGTATTGCTCTATGGAGATGAAATGAATTAGTTATGCGTATTGCTGTTGTATAGAGATAGAAAGAAATAGCAGATAATTAAATTAACGAGCAAATTAACACCTCACAGATTACCTCTTGGGCGCTCGCGGTTGACTCTAGTGGGCATAGCTCCGTCTCTGCCGTTCATTTCTACATATGTGGACAGGAAAATATACGTGAACGCGATCTCTATATATTTCTACGTGCAAGTCTCCCGGACATGCTTGCATGCAGCTACATCTACGCACTGCGTTTTCACAGAGGAATGGCGACTGCCGGCTGTTTCCTTTGCTCGCAAGTGAATTTTGTCGCTATGAATCTGTGTTAAGTACAATGTTACAGGTATGTGTATGCATGAGTTGAACCTACTAAATTTTTCATGACGTTTGCCTTGCTTTGTCCACCGTGCGCTGTGCTCAGTCAGCTCCGGCAGCGAAACAGAAGAAGAAGCTCCAGCAGACGCGGTCCCGTCCGGTGGCCCTACAGACACTACAGCAGCAACAGCAGGAGCAGGGGATGCAGCAGCTCCTCCTGCTTCCTCTTCTAACAAGGACGATGCTCATGATCCCAGTCAGGGCCCCTCAGCAGCGGCCAGCAACGCCCAGGCGTCCAGTGAACCCACGAGGGAAGCAGAAAATGAAGTGCAAAGAGAGACGGAACAAGCAAATGATGAGGGCGCCAGACACCGCAGAAGCGCAGCAGCAGCAGAGGGCACCAGGCAGCGCCCCAAGTCGACCTGGCAGGTGAGCGCTTTTGCCGTCAGTGTGACGTCTAAGGACAACTGTATGCTTGCAGCCACGCATACGTATAGCCACATACATACAGCATTTATGTATAGGCGCATGCATGCATGCACCCACGCCTGCATTAGCGTCCCCCTGTATATTCCACAGGGGGTGCATTTATGATGCACTTAATGGGCTGATTTGCCCAGACAAGACGCATGCGTGCATGCGTACGTTGGTTTTGTGTGCATGCTTTTGCGTTTGCAGTTGATGCAAGAAGATCCTTCCTACGTGCCTCGGGCTACTCGTTACTTTCTGCATGACGATCGGCGGGAAGGCGACAGTGGGGAGTCGGATGGGTCTGAGGAGGGTTCAGGCAGTCAGCCCGACGACTCAGTACCGCAGAGCACTCAAACGCGGTAATTGGCACTGGCCTTGTTAGCCTGTTTGCTGTTCAGAGGTGTATTGATTGTAAACATGCCTGCCTTTTCCACCCATGTGCTGGTCGGAGTGTGTTGGCCATACACGACACCCGCTTTCTTTGCCCCTCTGCAGCTGAGAGATATACTGATCTCAACAAATGTATTGATTGTAACTACGCCCGCTTTCTCTTCGCTTACCCTTGCCCTGTTCAGAGGTATATTGACTGTTAGAGTACTCTTCTTGATACAACGTTTGTTGCCCTTGAGATGAAATCAGTCCTAGTGTGCTCTTCTTGGTTCTTCCTGAGTCGATTGGCCTTCCACTGGCAGGTTTAAGTCCTCTGCGCGTGCTCTAACGCGTGTACTTTGTCACTTATTTGTCACGGCAGCTTTCTCGATCTGTCAATACCTTCTTTTTTTCTGCAAATTCTCAAAATACTCATCCCGGCTCTTTGGAAATTCTTAGGATGGCAGCGTACCATCTTCAGTGTTTTCCGTTATTTATTTCATTGGCAACACGGCGCCGTAGCCTGCGAGAAAGAATGTGGTTCGCGCTCCATTTCTTTTACAGTCTGTGGGCCCGTGGGGTTGGTATTGCTGAGCACCTGTTGTGTCGTGAGGCATCTCTCCACTCAAGCCGCTTCCTCGTACCTTCTCGGTGTGAAGGCCTTTTTCAACTTGAATTATTCCGTTGTAGCGTCTGTATGTGCCCCTTGCTTCGTGTTGATCTGTATAGTTGATTTTGATTCATCACTTCTCCTAAGCTCTTCCCTATCAGCAGCCTGCTGCTCGAGCTCTGTGTACACTTTGTTGGTGGCTGCGATGTTTTTTTGTTCTGCTTCAGAGTAGGCACCAGCAAGAAGCTGTGGACTCCAGACGAAAACAAAGGCATGTGGAAGCACGACATGTGGGAACTTCTGCAGAAAGAGGAGGCGGGAGAAAGGCCCCCAGGCGGCGGCTGGACAAGGGGAAGGCAGTTTGGTGGGTTTGCCGCTGCAGGCCTTGTTTTTGCGTGTGCTTGCTTCCATGTTTTGTTGCGGAGTCGTTTGTTGTGATGCAATTGGCGTTTGCCGTTGTACCTGTGCGTTCACTTGTCATGCTGCGTTTATACGCAAGGAACCAAGTGCCTCGTTGTGCGTATTCCTTGCAGCAGCGCCCTCACGAACAGGCACATGCGTCTGTCTGCACATATGCAATATATCTGGACATGTATGCGAGCAGAGGAGTTTGCATATATATACATGCATACTATATTGCATATGGGCTCTTGCACATAGACATCTACGCGTGCTAGCTCGTCGGCGTGCATTGAATACTCTCGTATCGCTCGCGTGTGGAGTTCAGGTCGGCGTGGTGGGACTACATTGGGCTATAGGCGAGGAGGCCGTGGAGAAGCCTGGGTGCCTCGAGGCTCTAGAGGGGAGAGGTAAGGGGGAAGCGTGCAACTTCGTTCTTCCCCTTGTGCTACGCTTTCAGATGCTGCAGCGGGTGTGGTTGATGCGGACTAACGCTAAGGTGCGGCTCTGGTGTTTTCATGTATGGCGCAGGCCCGGCAACAGCGAGAAGGGCATCCCAGATGGACCATGTGAGTGGAGGGTAACAGCAGGATGTATAGTTGTGTGTGAATGCTGCGTTTTCTTTTTCTTCCGTTCTGGATGGTATTTACGGTCTTTAGAAGTTCACGGTTTCGAGCATAGGCATCTAAGGGTCTCGGGTGCCAGGCTTATACCAAAGCGCTGGTGGGGTTGTTGTTGCATTGATTGAATGAATTGCAGGGCGGGGAGGCTGGAGGCCTTCGCGGGGCCGCGGGCGAGGCCAGAACTGGGGCGGCGATCAGCGGAAGCATTACGTACCCAAGCAGGCACCGAAACAAACTGCAGAGGCAGCTTGAGAGGCGCCGGTGCGCGTCAGTGGTAGCCCTGATGGCTTCAACTCCCCATTGCAGTCCAAAGGAAATATTTTTAGTGTAGTGCACCTGTACAGCAAGAAAGCAAAACGTGCTCTTCTTCATCTGGGCGACGCCCCCACGGAAGCACCACGCCTGAACCCGGCGGTTAAGAACATTTAT